GTCATTAGGCTTCGGTATGGGGACAATTATTGCGTGTTTCCATTTTGTAGGCAACACTCCACCTAGGAATGACTTGTTAAACAGGTGGAGTAGTGGATTCCCAGACACTTCACACAGTGCATTGAGTATGTCGTAGGTGACGCCATCTTCACCAGGTGCAGTACTTTTACCCTTTTTTCACAGCCTTTCATTTACTTCCTGGGCTGTGCTCGGTTGCCCATATTCGTCATCACTAGACAGCGTTCTTGTTATCCTAATTCTTCTGTCATCATGTCGCAGGAGCTGTTCCCTGCTTACTTCTACAGGGAGGGAGGAGGAGGAGGATGCTGCATCACTCCACCTTGTGGATTAGTTCCACAGCCGTACCCTTGGGGTCTTTGTGAGCCGCAGGCCGGGCTCTGGCCCCCTTAACTATCTGAATTTTTGCCCATACTTGTCTTGCAGATGTTTCTCTTCCTATAGAGCTAGTGAACTCAAGCCATTGTCTTTCCTGCTCTTTAATCTTCTCTTCCCTGGCTACTTGACACACAGTTTTAAACAACTCTTGGTTACTTTCAGTGGGATGTCTTCGGTACTCTCTACTCATGTTTCTTTCATTTGCGTTAAGCATCTTTATGTAGTCGTTCTCATACCATTTATTTTCTTCCTCTGAGGGTTACTTCGCCCAGTCGTACGGCGCGGTCAATGAGAACGCCAAGGAATTTGCCATCTACTTTGTTACAAATTTGGGTATTGTTAATCCTGAGATTTATTTGATTTGAGGATTTATTGCCAAACAAAATATAGAAAGTTTTGTCAATATTGAGGGTGAGTTTGTTGGCAGTTAGCCAGTGATGGACTTTATTTAGCTCAGTATGCACTGTGACATTTAGAGCAAGGGGGTCAGGACTGGAGTAAATGAAGGTTGTGTCGTCAGCAAATAGAATTGGTTTGAGATGTTGGGAGGCATTTGGAACGTCATTAATGTAGATGAGAAAGAGGAGAGGGCCAAGTATGCTGCCCTGGGGAACACCAATGTTGATGGGTAAGGTGGGAGAAATTGAATTATTCACAGAAACATACTGGAGCTTGTCAGTAAGGTAAGACTTAATGTACTGCAGGGAGTGACCTCTGACTCCATAATGTTGTAATTTAAGAAGAAGGGTTTGGTGGTTAACAGTGTCAAAAGCCTTACGCAGGTCTACAAATAACCCAACAGGGCACTCATTTTTATCAAGAGCTGTATGTATCAAGTTAATCATACTAATAAGTGCATCGTTAGTGCTTTTTGGGGGTCTGAAGCCATATTGACAAGAGCTAAGTATATTGAGTTTGGCTAGATAAGAGTAAAGCTGCTTATAGATTAGTTTTTCAAATATTTTTGACAAGTTTGGCAGAATTGATATAGGTCTGAAGTTGTTAACATCAGTGGGATCACCACCTTTGTGGACAGGGGTTACTCTCGCATTGTTTAGGATATCTGGAAAGGTTTGGAGTTCAAGTGACTTGTTGAAGAGCAATGCAATAGCAGGAGCTAAAAATCGGGAGGCTTTTTTTGTAAATAAGAGTTGGTATCTCCTCAAGGGCACTAGACTTGGTTTTAAGGGAAAGGATTATGTCAGTAACATCAGTGGAATTAGTAGGCATTAGGTACAGAGACTGTGGATAGTTTCCTGTAAGATAGTCCTGAATATTAATACTGGACGATGGAATATCATTTGCAAGGGATGACCCAATGGAAGAGAAGAACCTATTGAACTCAAGAGCAGTGTCAGAGGCTTAAAGCAGAACATCATTATTTTATAGGAGTATTGGTTTGTTATTTATAATCTTCTTTGATCCCAATATTTGAGAAATAGTGCTCCATGTTTTCTTAATATTGCCCTTTGTGTGGGTAAATTTGTCTTCGTAGTATTTAATTTTGGCTCTCCTAATTATTTTAGATAGCAATGATGAGTAATTGTTTGAGAATTCTTTGGAGACGATTCCTAACCTATACTTCTTCTCAAGGTCATGTATTTTATTAATGGATTTAAGTATCTCCTTTGTAAGCCGAGGACTGTTTAGCCTTTTAGTTCTGACTTGTTTCGTTAGCATAGGACAGTGGGTGTTATAAAGGCTGAGAGTTTTTTGAAGAAATAATTGCACTGCTAGGTTGATGTCCCCTATGTTCCCTAATTCAGATTCCCAGTTGATATTAGCAGCAGCAGCTATAACATTGCCTATAGCAGTTTCATTGTGCAGCCTAAAGCTTATCTCCCTTGCCTCTAGAGGTGGTTTGTTAATGTTGGTTAGGAGAAATGTGGGGTAATGGTCTGTAGTGCTATCAATGATTATCCCTGAAGTAAGCGGAGAGGTTATGTTGGTTCAGATGTGGTCAAGAGCCGTGGCAGTACTGTCAGTGATTCTAGTAGGTCTAGTGATTACGGGTATGAGGAAGCAGGAATTCATACAGTTGAGGAAACTAGCAGCAGGAGAGTTATCAGGCTCGCAGAGGTCAACGTTAAAGTCACCAGAAATAATTAAGTGGTTTTTGTTCAGTCGGTTCTCTAGTATAAGATTTCTAAGGTTTGAGTTAAATTTAGTCACATCAGTGTTAGGAACCCTGTAGACGGCTCCCACAGTCAAGACAGCATCGTTACCCTTGACTCTGAAAGAGGCAAATATATACTCTCCATAAGGGTCTCTAGATTTAATTACTTTTAAGCAAGTCAGTGCATGGTGGTAGTAAAGAGAAGTACCACCACCACTTTGTATAGGACGACAGTTGTGAATGGCTGAGTAGTTTGGTATGTTGTAGAGTTGATAAGCGTCCTCGTTTAACCACGTTTCAGTAAACACAATAAAAGAGAATTTGTTGTCAACTGTTTGAATCAGGGCACTAACATCATCAAAGTGCTTGCAAAGAGATCTTACATTCAAGTTAATTACAGAAACGGATGGGCTCGGGCACCAGGACAATAGGAGGTAATGTAGGCACGTAGTTAGGACAACGAGGGAATCACTGCTAGAGCTGAATTGTCCTGGAGGCGACGAAGAGTCGGAAACGCAAACTGTAAGTCCTGTACTGCGCAAAGTGCTTGAGTCGGCAGAGTATCAGAATGCAGTGATCGTGTAGATGAATCTGACGAAAGAACAGTTGTCGTGGGCGTCCATGTAGGACAAGCAGTGCCCTGACAGCGACAGAGAGTCGGCAGGACAGGCTGTTGATCCCACATTATGTAGTTACTGATGAAGCTGCCAGATGAGTGAGTAGTGATCGTGGAGCAGCAAGCCGTAGTAGATGAAAATGCAGAGATGATCGCGATAAAGATCATAGCTATGGCGAGGGTGTTGGCAGCGTTCCGTGACAGGTGGCTGCGGTCCACAGCAAGCAGCAGCAGTAGAGGTCCAGTGAGAGTCCATGTTGTAGTCCATCGTGGCTGGGTATCGTCGAAACTCTCTGGGGTCACCAATGTAACGTACGATTATGTTACGTTGTTGGGTTGATTAGATACACAGTGTTTAGTGAGTTTCATATTTATTTAGTATATTTATTTAGTCTTGGAAACAGCAGTGTCGTAGACGTTGAGACGAAGCCTGGAGCAGAGCAGAGAGCTGAGTGTGGCCGGAGTCGTGGAGCTCTATGTGGGAGAGCGTGGCGGCTCGATTGAGAATTGTGAGTGTCTGAACTCGGGGAGCAAGAGCGTGGCGGCTCGATGCGGTCGTAGTCTGCTGTCTGCTCTGTGTCGAAGCTGTAGCGTTTTGGGTCGATTAGGACTGTACACGCCGAGTGCTACATTGTTGACTGTGGAAATTGAGTAACTAAGTGATTGTAACCTATCCACCGCTGCCCACTGGATGGGGGGCGGTGTGCAGGACAAACATATAAATTTTGACACTAGCTCTCCACATATGTCAGTTGCTTAATTTAGAACCTGTACTTGAGGTCGATCTCGAACCCATTGTTGATGTGATGACTTATATTGAATTTTGTAACTAGCTCATCAAGATTGTAACTTGCTTAGCTAAATGAATTGTGGGGTTCAGTCCCTGAGCCCATTATGTGCCTCTGTAACCCTTTCCACTACCGCCCACAAGATGGGTATGGGGTGCATAATAAATGAACTAAACTAACTTCTATTCATCAAATCGTTGCTTAAATGGTGATTACACCTCAGCTTCCTCCAACAAGGTGAGAAGAGTATTACCTGTAATTGGGGAAAGGATTGTAGCTTCTGTAATTAGTTATGCTATTAAGATAATGAGATAATGGAGCGAGTATAAGGATTACTCGCTACATGTGCCTCTGTAACCCTTTCCACTACAGCCCACAAGATGGGTATGGGGTGCATAATAAATGAACTAAACTAACTAACCCAATCTGAACATCTTTACCATTGTGATCATTGCTGTCTTCTTATATGTGCTATCAATCTGCTGTATGGTGTCTATTAATCTTGTTTAAATTACCAATCAAGTTGTCACTGTAATCAATCAGAGCTTTAATATACCAATGTACTTTACTATACTTACTAATCTCTCTCATCTCATTTTTTCCTTGCAATGTATCTGTTATCATTTTATTAATTCTGTACAAGATGGGTATGGGGTGCATAATAAATGATCTAAACTAACTTCTGTACTTTCACAACCCACTGTATTTTCTTGTAAGAAAGAAAGTAAGTAAGCAAGCAAGTAAGCAAGCAAGTAAGTAAGTAAGTAAGTAAGCAAGCAAGTAAGTAAGTAAGTAAGTAAGTAAGTAAGTAAGTAAGCAAGCAAGTAAGTAAGTAAGTAAGTAAGTAAGTAAGTAAGTAAGTAAGTAAGTAAGTAAGTAAGTAAGTAAGTAAGTAAGTAAGTAAGTAAGCAAGCAAGTAAGCAAGCAAGCAAGCAAGCAAGTAAGTAAGTAAGTAAGCAAGCAAGCAAGCAAGCAAGAAAGCAAGCAAGCAAGTAAGTACATTATTAACATAGGGTGTGAATAAAGTGGTGGTGGCGCCGTGAGACCTGGCAGTGGCCGCCGTCAGACCGCGGGCCGCTGAGAGGCCGTGGCTGCCAGCGCTTGTGTACTAGTGGACCACTACACACACCTCTCCCAGGCCCCAGCTCCTTCACTTCTTGTCTAAACTACTTTACTAGGTTTAAAGGTCCTATAGAAAATACTCCGTCAACATGAGTGAATTCGAGCAGTCGACGAGGGACAGAGTAAGTGATAGGGAAGATATAGGGGTCAACTATTTGAGTACATACGTAAGCTGTGAGGGAGAGTGGTAAGTTATAATAATAATAATAATAATAATCTTTATTCAAAAGAATGTGTGTACAAAGAACATATAGAGTACTGTAAAATTGTAGGGACAGGCGTTACACATACTAATGAAGCTACTATTACGTTAGTTTAGTTCATTTATTATACACCTCCATACCCGTCCTGTGGGCTGTAGTGGAAAGGGTTACAGAGGCTATTACACAAAGCGATTCGGGCAATTGTTCTTCGATAGTGCGTCTAGACCAACTTTGGAGTGGCAGGGCACATATGGCTTGGTCCTGGCGCTGCCCTTCATACCAACACCAACAACATACCATATCAATTCAACGACATTAAAAATTTTATAATCCAACCCAGCCTAACTTATCTAACCTATCCTAAGCGTCGCGTAGAATAGCCTCGTTCATGACTGTTGGGGATCCTGGGTTTGATCCTCGGGTGGGGCAGAAATGGTTGAGCACATATACTTTCACTTGATGCCTCTGGTCACCTAGTGGTAATTAGGTAGGTGGCCAGGAGTTAGGCAAGTGACCCTCCCTAGGCTGCATCCTTGTGAAGGTCAGTAGTTTGACCTAAGGGGACCTTGATACAAACTTTAAGTATATATAAATAAGCTTCCTGTCCCTGACAAAATGATTTATTATCCTATGGAGAACTGGAATTCATAATATTTTCTACAAATCCAGCCTAACCTAATATTGATATACCCGTATACAGTTTTGGAAAATTAGAAAATGTCCTACATAAATTTAAGTTGTGATTTTGCCCCGAGGGGCAAGTTTATTGGGCAGCGCCACTCATATTGTGAGTGGACTTACCGCCATAGCAGCATGTAGAACACTCCCCAATAGGAAGAAAACCCGCTGGGTTGTTCATCCTGTCACTTGTACCAAGACACAGGTCCTACATGTGAAGTGCTTGTGTATGTTTTAACTACACACAGCCACACTAGGGGTTTAGAGCTGGTGTAAGCTGTATAGATTATATCATTAGTGTCATGATAAAAGTAGCAGGCATTTTTTGACTAAATATAAACAATGCTGCATTAATGTAAGTTACATTACATTGTACCCGAATGCTGCAGTGCCTCTCGAGTCTCTCTCCAGAAAGCACAGTGATCTACATATTAAATGGCCTTTGTTAAATTGCTGCAGTAAGATAAGTGTTTTGCCAATGTTTCGTTTCACCTGATGTCTCTTTTCACCTAGCAGTAAATAGGAACCTGGGAGTTAGACAACTGTTGTTGTTTGCATCCTGGGGAAGGTCAGTAGTTGGCCTATGACAGCGGTGGGCAACCTTTTCATGTGTTTAAGCCAAAGTTTCCAAATATTTGATGCAAAATTTTCTTGCATGCCAACAGAAATTTTTGTGGAACATTATTATTTTGTGTCTTTTAAGTACAGCACTTTTTGGGAGAACCTTTTTTAATAATTAAAAAATCACACTAGAGCAGTAAAGTCAAAGGATATTCTAAGAATGATTAAGAACATAAGAATGAAGGTAACTGCAGAAGACCTATTGGCCTATATGAGGCAGCTAATATTTATAACCACCCAATTCCACTCATATACATGTCCAACCCATGCCTGAAATGATCAAGGGACCCCACTTCCACTAAGTTACGTGTAATTGGTTCCACAAATCAACAACCAGTCTCCGTGGTGTAGTGGTAAGACACTCGCCTGGCGTTCCGCGAGCGCTATGTCATGGGTTCGTATCCTGGCCGGGGAGGATTTACTGGGCGCAATTCCTTAACTGTAGCCTCTGTTTAACGCAACAGTAAAATGTGTACTTGGATGAAAAAACGATTCTTCGCGGCAGGGGATCGTATTCCAGGGACCTGCCCGAAACGCTACGCGTACTAGTGGCTGTACAAGAATGTAACAACTCTTGTATATATCTCTCAAAAAAAAAAACCCTGTTACTGAACCAGTGTTTACGCAGGTCTTTCCTAAATTAGCCAGCGATTACTTTTATTATTTTAAGTCATCTAAGATTGAACGAATGTAAAATTTATTGATGTAATCTTTACTTAAAAGGGTGTGTTCTACCTTGCTGATAGGATGGATATTTTTTATTAGTCTTTAAATGTAATTCCCACTGCCATATATGGCCACAAAATTTAAAGTAGCAGTTTTTAAGTGAACAAATCTACAAGGGCCGTGACGAGGATTCGAATCTATGTCTGAGATCATCCCAGATGCTGCTTTTATCGACAGAGCTATGACATGATCAAAAGGGATGGGATGATCTCGGACGTAGGTTCGAATCCTCGTCACGGCCCTTGTGGATTTGTTCATTTGATGCATCACGCTATTGTGATTTCTGTGTAGCAGTTTTTAACATCAGCAAAATAGTAAACAATAATTCTGATTTTTTGTTTTTGTATCAGATTAATCAGTCATAAGTTTTCAGAATTGAGCACATTACAGTGCTCAATCTCATATTCATTTTACTTGGAAAAGCACAATAAAATAAAATATACAGTAATTAAAGACATTCTTTTATTCTTAATCCCTTTTATTCTTAATCCCTTTTATTCTTAATCCCTTTTATTCTTAATCCCTTTTATTCTTAATCCCTTTTATTCTTAATCCCTTTTATTCTTAATCCCTTTTATTCTTAATCCCTTTTATTCTTAATATTTAAAAATTACACAACTCAGAAAATCCCATAGTCACACTGCACACACCTAGCAAGTTTTATGAAAATCGGTAAACAAACCAAAAATAAGTAATTATAAGCCTACCTACAATGATGGTAAAGGAGTCGTGTGACATCTGGCTGCCTGGTGAATGACTCAACAACTGACCTGGACAAAACTTGTACTGTATGTCAGTATATCACGGAGACAGATGGCTTGGAAACGGGATGTTTTGTTTCATTTTCTTATTACAGTGGTACCTCGGTTTAAGAGTTTAATCCGTTCCTGGAGACAGCTCATATTCCGAAAACTCGTAATCCGAAGCTAATTTCCCCAAAAGAAATAATGGGAAATGAATTAATCCGTTCCTGACTACCCAAAAACCTCACTTCAAAGTAAATTTTATACCTAATTCATCTAAATAAACCTACAAAACTATGTTCAAGTTATTACTTACCCTTACTGATGACTGCTGTTGGCGTATGGAAGATGGTGAGGAGGGAGGAGGAGAGGTGTTACTGTTTGGAAGGGAAGTCCCTTTCCATTACAACATCAGGCAGTGAGGACTTCACTGATGTGCACTCTCTGGCACATTTTGCCTGCATACCACTAGGACTTGCTTGTCTTACTAAGAATCTGTCTAAAGACACTTGTTTTTCCCTACATTTTAACACTTGTCTGTAGTAAGACATCACATTCGTAGGGGCCTCGTAGCCTGGTGGATAGCGCGCAGGATTCGTAATTCTGTGGCGCGGGTTCGATTCCCGCACGAGGCAGAAACAAATGGGCAAAGTTTCTTTCACCCTGAATGCCCCTGTTACCTAGCAGTAAATAGGTACCTGGGAGTTAGTCAGCTGTCACAGGCTGCTTCCTGGGGTGTGTGTGTGTGTATAGTGTGGAGAAAAAAAAAAAAAAAAAAAAAAAGTAGTAAACAGTTGATTGACAGTTGAGAGGCGGGCCGAAAGAGCAAAGCTCAACCCCCGTAAAAACACAACTAGTAAACACATTGTCATTTAAAAGGTCAATGCAACGGCCTGCTACAGCTTTTTCTGGGTGAGTGTTTTCAACAAAACTTTGCAGTTCTTCCCATACTTCACACATTTTCTTAATCAAGAAGGGACATCCTCTACTGCCTCTACTCACAGCTATTTTCTTAGGTTGAACCTTACCAATGGCTTTCTTGAGACCCATGGCGAGATATATAATAACAACTTTTATGCTCAAATGGCAAAAAAACCGACAAAAAACTGTAAATCCTTGTGAAGAATTCAGGCGGGATAGTCACTGGGCGCGATCACCGTGCCATTACGCGCTAGTCGGCCTGTACGTGAATCAACACCCTTGTGTTCCGAGGCAACCCTCGCCTTCTGAGGCAAATTTTCCGAGCAAATCCTGCTCGTATTCCGAAAAACTCGTATACAGGGACACTCATATTCCGAGGTACCACTGTATTTATTACTAAAACAGTTGTCAGCGTTTGTTTCTTTATTACACTTTGACATCACACTACTAAATAAAATTGTATTTTATGATGTTAAAATATACAACTTGGCAAAGAAATTGGATATTGTTCTGGAAAGGTGGGACACCACACGCATAGCTCTCATCCTGTAACTACACTTAGGTAATTTCACACTTAGGTAATTACATGTGCCAAGAGGTGCCCACCCCTGGCCTAGGAGGACCTTGGTAAGCCTAACAAACTTTTTGTTTGCGATTATAGGGAACCAAGGAACCATATAGTGCAGTATCCAGCCCTGTATCTAAATAGTGCATTACATTACTGTACTCCAATGACTTCTTTCTATAACCCAGCTTCCTCTCCAACACAGATGCCCATGGATCTGGGTCGAATCCCAGCCCCAAACCTGACCTCGAAACTGGGGTAACAGGTGGGAAAGTCTAGTTACCTGCAGAGAGGTTAAAAGGGGATAACATCCGTAGAAAGAGGAGGAAATGTGTGACGCATTGAATGAACAATTTACAAGATACAGTAGAGTTAAGGATTCTTAATCATCCTATTGATTGGTATTTTAAAATAATCTTTCCTGCCTCTACTCTTCACAGACGCCATCTTGTGGAATTGGCTCTGATACACACCCTGCCCAACATGAACTTTAGTCCTGGCAGTGTTGCTGTTGACCTCCTTTTCACAGTACATACTTTAACCCTTCAACAGTGCAATACATACATACAGTATATGATTTGATATAAAATAATTTATCGTAAGTTTTTAAAACTTTCACAAACACTTTCCAATTTTTTTGGCATAATCAACTAGGCAACTGCTCC